TAGATTTTTCAGAAAATCTGATACTATTAAGGATGACAGACCAAATTCTTGAAGAAATATCACATAATGTAAGAGCTGAACAAAATCTTTGAAATGATGCACTATACGGGCCTATATTAGGTATCTACAATGGAGATCACCTGGTAAGATTTTGGTCTACATTTTGAAACCATGTTTTGTTTTCCTGTGCAAACTTTTATCTTCTACAATATTAAAACTGCAGAATAAATCAAATAATTACGCTTGTATTTAAAGTGGGGATTTCCAGTAAATAAAATTTATTCCATGGGTTAGGTGGGAAAACAGAATAATTACTTGCTAGTCAAGTGTAGTTTTCATTAAAGAGATAGGAAGATAGCACTTAGCTCAGCTGAGGTCTTTAAGAATTTTCCAAGTTGAGTTCTGAGAAAAACTACAACATAACGTGTTTTTGTTTTTGTTTTTTTTTTTTTCGAGGATAAATTTTTATCTTCTTCACTTAAAACAAAGAGTAAAAGCCTATATAAAACTGATGACACTTCACCAGACATATTCTTTCTTGATTTCTATTTAAAGTTTTTATATCTTATTTATACAAATAAGTTTGGATGATTTATCTAGAGTAATTAAAGGTAACTAGAAATGAAGCCAATAATGCTGTTCTAAAATTACGGCAGGCAAACGTTTTATATTATTGACAAACTTAATAAAAACATTTATAATTTTCATCAATCAAATAGCAACTAAATTCATACTAGATAAACCTCTGTAGACATTTAGTTAACTTTATTTTGGTGAAACTAATTAGAATTTCTTTATTAAACTGAGATAAATATTTTCTTTGAAAGAGAATCTTATGATAAAATTATAATGACAAGATGATAACATAATGTGGGCAAGCAAAACCAAAGGTCCCTGTCAACATCTGTGGGAACAATGAAATGTCTTATAAAAGCCAACAGCTCAAGATTTATTTTCATTATAAAGAGGGGAAGAGAAAGCATAATGAGAAATAAGTAGACTAAGACAGTAACTGAAAACATAAAAGATTTTTCAACTGTATAAGCACACTAGTAAGATAAAAGCAAGCCAGACTGAAGACTGTTCATGTAAGAAAACAGATGACTACATCTTATAGCACCTGGGATTTATTTTGGAACACCATAATGTCTGTCAACTCCTACATTTCTAGATACATAACATTTTTACTTTGGTAGTATTTAATCTTACCAAATACATAGGCTTCAAGGAAGAAACAGAACCTATGATATCATTTTTTTAGCTTATTTTAACAGTTTGCTTTTTTTTTTTTTTTTTTTTTTTTTTTTTTTTTTTTTTTTTTTTTTTTTTTTTTCCTGGAGCACTCAAATAAAACTATGATCAGGAAGTAAATGTAGACGTTACTGCATTAACATGTTAACAAACCATTGGTTTAAGTTGGATATCTAACTTTCTTGCCCACATATTCCCACTGAAAAATAGACTGAAATTACTTACTTTTTAAAACAAACGTAGACAAATAATGCTACTTCGTAGTTAAGAAAATTAAGGTAAATCTATAATATGAGTTAGAAACGATGAGGTTAATAATCTTTAAAAGTAAAAAATGAGGGAAAAAACAGCACTGCACGGAGTTTTGGGTAAAAGAATGGAATCTTCTCTAACGTTCCCATTTGCCTCCACTCGAAGATTACGGTCAACAAAAGAGTTGTCCGGTTAAAACACGAAGAGCAACATTACAGGGAAGTAGATTCGCTGTGAGGTCGGTTTTCAGTTCCCTCGACAATCCTGTGCAAATTCCCCTGGTTTTGTCCAGAGGTCATTTCCACATTTTCTGTCTCTGGAGGGCAACTAGTTTCAAGGTCTGAGTTGTGCATTGGTGGGAAGTTTTTTTCTATTTGACTGTACATGTTAGCTACTGACTTTTCAAGGTCTGCTACGTTTTTAATATGCTTGAGGATGCCTTTTGGTTCCCTTCGGGGATCCGCCTTGCACTCCGTGGTGGATGCTGGCAGCTGTGTCCCAGAGGACGTCCTTTCCTCTGCTGGTGTTACACCGACAGTACCTTTAACAGCTGGTATAGGGACACACCTGGTGGACGGAACCGAAGGGGGAGGAGACAGTGGAGAAGGAAGAGGGGGGCATGGTGGAGGGAGGGAAGGAGGGAAGGGGAGAGGGAGGGAAGGAGAAGTAGAGGGAGGGGAAGGGGGGCCGGACAGCGGAAGAAGTGGAGGAGGAGGATGGGAAGGAGGAAGATAGGAAAAAGCAACAGGAGTTGGAGGAGGAGAGATACGGGGTGGTTCGGGAAGAATTTCGAAAATGTTCCTTTCGGCTTCGACAGTCAGCATACACACGGGTGCCTCTCTCCTAAAGACTGGAGAATGCAAAATGCCAGGCGTCGAAGGAGAAAGTTCCAAGGAACAGTCAGCCGGAGAAATGGCGGCATGAGGCTCTGACTGGAGCTCCACAGTTCTTGACACAGTTGGCAAAGTGGAGAAGGAGGAGCGAGGTGAAGGAGAGAAACAGGAAGAGTCTGAAGATGGAGATGCCACGTGTTCTGTTCCCAACACAGGCAGTGAATCACCTGGCCTCATTTCCTCTCTCTCTGCTGCCTGCGTATCCCCGGCTCTCGGCAGGGGCCTCCCGCTACCTCTTTGGTTTGGACAGGTTCCAGGGCTTTCCTTTCTACCTTCCCGCCCGTTGCTCTGCCAGTGCTGCAGATCTGTGGTCTCTGGTCTCTTGGGAAGTTCCCACACTGGTCTCTGAGGGAAGCAGACTGGCTGATTCCACATCCTCTGAAACATTTCTCTCGGGCCCCTCAGGGACTTACTCCTGCCTTTCGTTCTGGGTAAAAGTGAGTCTATGAAATCTGTTCTTAGCAAAAAGTCTGAATTTGTTGGTCTTGGATCTACGGTTTCCTTATAAAGAGTACCGTGGGTACTCAAGGCATCCTCATCAGATACCAGTGGGAATGTTCTTGCCGACGCAGGCTGGTCGTTAAGTGGTCCCTCTACACGAGCCTCTTTGTGAGCCCGAACAGTGCCGGAAGAAAAGGGCATCCCACTGTGTTGATTTTTCCTGTCTTCTGAGACTGATTTATTTCCCCTGCTTTGTTGGAAATGGTAGAGAAGGAAAAGACTTGAAAGAAAAGAACATAATGAAATGTAAGGAAACAGGTTGTGACATAACTTTCACGAGAAAGATGTCTTTATGGTTCTCGTCACTACTTCAAGACACAAGAGGCCAAGTGACACTAATCTACCGATTAGCAACACTAATCTACTAATTACTTTTGTGCCCTTGGTCTCAGAAAGGCAGGGCAGGAAAAGCCTGAGAGCTGTGAGTGGCAGGAGGAATTTTCATTTTTAAAACCTGTGTCAATCTGTAGACTGATTTTTTTTCCCCTGATTACTCTGATACAGCGAAGTATCCAGAGCCAGACATCCCAGTTCTCTCTCTTTTTAAATAAAGTTTAATTTTATTTATTTTGAAAGGGAGATAGAGGGCAAAAGGGATGGGGCAGAGAAAGAGGGAGAGAGACAGAGTCCCAAGCAGGCTCTGCACAGAGCCCAACACGGGGCTGGAACTTGGGAACTGTGAGACCCTGACCTGAGGTGAAATCAAGAGTTGGAGGCTTAACCGACCGAGTCATCCAGGCAACCCATAACAGTTCTCTTATGTAGAAATCACGATCCTCCAAATTGCAAACCAGGGTTTTGGCGAATGGTTTTACATCCTTTGCTTTGCTTTAAGGTGCTCAGAGCTGATGGTTTTGGGGAAAGGATTCTTCGCTGTATCTGATTCGGGGTCATTATCTCTCATCTCAGTAATTCTGTCCTGGAGCTAAAAGTACTCTCGTACCTGCGATGCAGCTGACCAGAGAATGCAGAAAGGAATTCTCTATTCTCCAAGGACAGACGGGAGAAATTTCTCTCACAGGGCTCAAAATCACAATTGAGAAATGGAATTGATGCCAGAACCTTGACAGAGATTACTTTCTTCGATTTCCATTTTAAGCTTCATCAGTTTTAAAACGCTATCAACATTACCATAAGAGGGGTTAGTGGTATTTAGTTTGAATATGATCTGCATCCAATTTTGGTCAAGACCGACTTTAAGGAAAGGTTTATGGTAAAATAACAGTTTCGATATCGCTGCAAGATGTGCTCAGACACTGACACTGAGTGACGGGCTGCGAGTGACAAACGCAATTGAGCAGGTGAGGGGACGTGAGTAAGGGTCTCTAAGGAAAGCATCGGTACGTCCCCCCACCTCCCGGCAAGGCTGGGTGCTTCCCAATAGTCTCTCATTGAGTCTTGCTCTCAAGCCCAAACAGAGTAATGTTGACTTTGGTTATTATTTAATCTCTAGCCACACAGGAACGAAATAAAAGGAAATACTGTGAATAAAAATTAAGTAGCCGCGCTGATAAGAATGACAGATAAGGCAATAAAATGCTATATAAAGCCAGAGTTGTTACTGAATCATTTCACTAAGATACAAACTACACGTGGATGTGGGGCGTCAGGCCCCCTTGTATAATTCAGGAAGGACACATAATGTGGATTAAACAGACAACAAACACTTACTTCTGATCTTGCCAAGTCATTCTTTTTCAAAAAATGGACTTGACATATTATTTGGCAATTTTTTATAGATTTGTTCTTGTTTAATTTTTCCTGGAAAGAATGATACATAATGATACCACATCACTTTTGATGGAGAGGTATCTTTAAATATTTTTAGGATATTTTAATATCTTTAAATTTAAGCATTTTAAGAATTTTGATACTTTGTCTTGAGAGGCACAGGTACTGTCAGTGAAACACTTGTTTTAAGTTCACGCCATTTCAAGATACCAAAAGGGAATGAGATATGGAAGACAGGACTTTCTTTTTAAAAGCCGATGACTCCATAATAGAAGATGACGATTACTGTATTTAGAGTAAAACAGCAGTTAATCTATTCTATTGTATCTTTTTACCCTAATGCCTTGTATTAGAATGATATTATTTACTTACTTATGCCTATGTATCCACAGGTGGGAAAGAGAAAACATGGGACAGAAAAAAAAGAGTTTGAACTATAGTTAATTGGAGGTGATTATGAAAATACTAACAGGAACTTGCTTTAAACATTTAATATGTATATCCAGAAAAGAAAACATATGTTTTTATATTTTCTGTGTATTTACTCATACAAATGATATGTGCTAATAGTTTAGATAAAATCATATGGCACTTATCCAGTGGTCTCATCACAGAAAGTAGCTAGCCATCCATTTCCCGTGCATAGGCAAAATTCACCTTCATGACACACGACTGATTTCAGCCCCCAAACAAAAATTTTAAATGAGATTCTAAGAATAGTTTCTATGTTCTAACTAAAAAAATCAGTCCGCGCTGATTTATAGAGAAGATAGAACTAGGGTTTGGAAGAAAGTAAACATATAATACTATGATGACTATCACAGCGGTTGTTGAATCCGTACGAAGTTATCAACTAGTTCATGAAGATTCTTTTTCAAAATGACCTTTGATTTTTTTCTTTTAAATTTGATAATAATTTATCTGGAGCTAGTCCATTTTTTAGTAACATAAGGTTTGAATCCTTGTATAAAGTTTTTTAAGAGATAGGTCAAACGTTTGTTAAAGATAATTAAATGTGCAGAACTCAGGATCCCTCATTAAATACATATTATAATTGCAAAACTGTCTACTTAGTCTATCACAATTTTTCAAATAGAAGTAGTCCTTAACTGTTGCTATTTGAAAATGATCACCACCACACTATATTGATTCCAGATGATGTTATAGTATGCTTACTTTTCTTCAATAAAAATGAATATATATCCCTCAGTAATTTCAGAGACAATAAAACTTAACACATAAGTCTTTCTTAGTTTCTGAATATTTTTTTCCTGGAGAGAGGTGGTTAATATAAAGAGAATCAAATCGTATTGGCTCAATTCCTACATTCACCAGTAATTCAAAAAGATACCGTCATTTTCAGCTCATTAAAAAATTAAAACTATATTTAAAGCATGAATCCTGTATTATATTGTTAGTTTAGAAATAGAATGTCAAATACTAAGCTGTCAAGCATTAAATTCAATTTTAGCATTAAAATATACAACATTAAAATCAGTTTTAACATTTTTGAAACTTCTTAACATCACCTTGTGCATGTCGGGATGAGCACTGGGTATTGTATGTAAGCCAATTTGACAATAAATTATATTCATAAAAATAGTGGTAATATGACAAAATTATCGATACATGTGTTTAAAACTGGTTTTCCCATTAAAAGGTAAATTTCTTAATTTTTGAGGCTTGCTTTATTCCTACTAGTAAATGCAACAAATGTAACAGAGTAGAATAATGTGTTTTAGTCCCTCAACTCTGCCAAATTCTAGTTAATAAAAGGTGTCTTGGATTTAATTTAGTCAGATTCAAAATTTTATAATATCCTTGGTTGTTTTGCATTTCATGTCCAGAAATAGTTCCTCTTTAATTTTTAAAACATAGGCAGGTTAAATAAGTCAGAAAGGAATCTGGTTATGAGGGTAGCACCAATCTGGAAACATCTGTGAAGTCTTTTCACAATACTTTAAAAGTCTTTCAAATGTGTATGAGTTAATATTGCTTAGAGGTTCCAAATAACACAGGAGAAGTATTAAGCTATCACAGCAGTCTCTTTTGAGGGGAATATAATAAAAAGCATATTCTTTAAAGGGTTGGATATTTAATATTTAATTCTTTATTTGGGTTTCAGATTTTCACTCAGATTTTAATTACTCCATCCTATGACATCCCGAGACAGTCTCTGTAAGGAGTCTATGATTTTAGACCATACCATTGGTTTTAAATTACCAAATAAGAGTTGCCTTTGGATACTAAATCAAGAATTACTCTTTTATGATTGTGCTTTACCCTGTCTTTATTTCTTATGAGAAAAAAAATTTTTTTCAGAATGTATTTTGAATTTTGGAGAAAAAAGTGCATAATTGTGAAGGTTTAGAGATTATATGATTCAAGCTAGTCATCTACAGATGTCTCTCCTCCAGCCAAGTACTTCTTTCTCTACTCATTTTTTAAAAATGTTATTTTGTTTGTTTGTGTTTTGGTTATGACTTTTCAATTCGACTTTTCTTAGGTTCTCATCTTAACAATTTGTTTTCTTTTTTTCCCATTTAAAGTAGTAAATGAAGTAGGCTGCAAACCGTGTTTCCGCATGGGGTGGAAATGAAATACTCACCACCCAGCATCCATCAGGCCCACCTGTCTGGCAGAGCAGCGCCCTGGCCTACTTACATGGTGCTGTCTCCCAGCTCCTCATACAGGTGCGCCCCGGGGGGCGGCGGGGGCGCGGCCACAGGTGCGGGCGCAGGTGCAGCAGGCTTGGCTGCGGGTAATGCCGACTGGATTCGCGCTGTCTTGGTGCACTCGGCTTGGCGTCTTTGAGAAGGGAGGGATGTTGTGGAAAACCATTTTAGAAATCATACATTTCTCAGAAGAACCCACTTAAAAAAATCGTTAACACAAATACTAGGACTTATAAACCCGTGTGATTACAGCAACATCCCCACAGAGTATCGTTTTCCTGTATCTTCTTCCCCTTTAAAATATCTACCCTGAAATAATGGCTGGAATTTAGTAGAAATATTTGCATATTATGTGACATAGGAATATGAAAGGTAGGAGTCAAGCTATCTATAAAAATGTGATTTAATAATTGGGGGCCATGGAGTGGGTCTCCTTCCTCAGGTGAGGCACGTTGAAGATGCATAATTTTTCTTTATTATTCATCTTCCATCTAGTTCAAGAAAAGTTATTTCATTTTAAATGATTTGAAACATGTTTGACATTAGTTTACGGTGTCCCTTTGGGAGAGAGACGTGGCTGGCTTTTGTTTCCTTTGGACTCCTGGGAGGCCTGGGAATTCTTGCCTTGGAGTTGCAGCCACGCTTATTGAATGTCCTGGACAGCCAACTCTTAGTTCCTTCCTCAAAATCCAAATCTCAAAGAGTGGGAACCGTCAGAGTCAACTGTCTTTTTCACATTTCCTCCCTCCTATCCCCATGTGAAAACCCAGCCTGATTCCTTACATACAAAAGCACATGGGAATTTGAACCAAAGTATACACCTTCTGCAAACACAAGACAGACCGGTGATCCATGGTTCTGAGCAGGCCGACTACTTTATCAGTAGAATCCAGGCCTTTCCTTTTCATATTACGTAAAATCATATGCGAGATATTAATTATACTTACACTTTAAACCTGTTTTGAAAAGCAATAAGAAAAAAAAAGAGAAAGCTACATTAGAAATTCTGCGTTCATAATATTTTAACATCTGATTTATTCCAAATTCTGAATAATTTACTGGTGAAACTCTTAACGACACAGACCTATTGACACAGTAGGGAAACTGAGTGTTTCAGTTCAGAAAGTAAAAATGGGGGAATGCTTTATTGTTGCTGTCACTGTCCTACAAGCTGTGAAAACATTTTTTTAACAAGAAAACAAAGAAATGAACTAACTGGGATTTCAAAAAAAAAGCTGGATTAAAACATGGATACATGAATTTGAACTCTGATAGAGAAATGGGTTATTAAAGGTGATCTGATCTTTATAACTGGCTTCTTGGTGTCCTGTGCCTGAAGAATGTTAAAGAGATGAAGGCAGGCAGTGGGCTGATTATACCCTGGGCTTCACTTTGAAGCTGAGCCTGGAACTGGAAGGTGACGTGCCTGGATAATGAATCCATGACACTTTTTTCACATTTGCTTCTTAGTTTTCCATGTACAGTGAATTAAAAAAAAAAAAAAAAAAA